TTACAGTGCTGGCAGTACTGCGAGGCACTCGAGAACCGGTGGGAGAAGGCCAGAACCGTTTGCGAGGGCGACCAGTATCCACATGTAAGTAAATTTACGGGTGAACCAGGCTTTCGGATTAGGGGAGGTTGTACGCCCGGGAATACCCGGCCCCGCCGCCTTTGAGCCGGCTTGTATGGCTGATGGGAAACACGGGAAACGAGACTCGGGGTCGCGGGGAAATTTGTGGATCGAGCGGAGACGAGTTGCTCGGATCGTCGCTCCAGGGTATACTTATTGGTTTTATTTGGGATGTGCTGTCTTGGATCTAAGAATTGACGGTTAGTTTATCGTGAAACATTAGACGGGACTTAGTCGAATAATTTATCTGTTGTTTACTTATTTAGAAATAAATGTAATTTATAAAATGAAAAAATAATTTAATGAATGTTTGCGATATAGTTGAGATGAGTAACATTATATAAAATGGAAAGTGAATTTAATTTATTTCTAGAATTCTCTGATAAAGAATCCGTCTAGATCTAAGATCCAGATCTTAGATGTTTAGTTAACGCGATAAACGCAAGAAAGCGCGACTGAAAATGTCAATATTACTTTTTCAATCTAAATTACAAAGACACTTGAAACATTACGAAAGAAGACGCACACCGGTAGTCTTCGAGAAGCCAACGCAGCCGAACCTTCTATTTTCTCGGAGCCCATTCGTTCAGGTAAACCGAGTTTAAAGTTGCCCGTGTCGAATCCCGGAGCGTATCGAACCGGCGGAAAATTCGAATCGATGAAGCGCGAGAAAAATCCCTTAACTTCAAGGATCTCAAAGGCCAGGGCGGTGGCGAGCGAGCGGGCGGGCGGGCGGCCGGGGGTAATCGTTGAACAGCGGCCTGCGGCACAAAAAAGAAGAAGAAAGGTCTTTCGGTCGCGGGAGAAAATCCTGAGAAACGGCTACCTGTCGCTTTTCACAGAACGCCGACCTGTTCCACCGTGGAATGATGCTCGAAGCGTAGCCACTTTCGATGTATCGACCCTCGGAAGATAGAAATCTTTTTCAAATATTTGGGCAGCTACCAACTTTACGGTGAATGTTTAGATTGAAGCTCCTTTCGATCTATCCTTCTTCGACGCATGATTTCTCGTGGATAACGGAATGTCTCTTTTAGGTTGATCGTTAATTATGATCCTCTAATGCACCTTCCCGGACGACCAATGTTAGGGATAGATAATTACGAGACCTTCGTGATTCCTACCGTTTGATAGCGACAGAAAGGGAAATTGCATTAAGACGGATAATAGGATGAGCATCGAGCAACAATGAGCTTTAGATAGCAGTGGGTTGTAAACTTCTGTTCAAGAGACTTTAAACCGGATTTTGGGGAAGATTTATTTTAGATGACATAGTTTGTTTATCTGTCGTGTACAAGTCTTCGTGGGATAATTTGTAAAATTGAATTAGAATTAAGCAGAATTCTCTAAAGAAGAATCGAAGATCCTTGAAATTTGAAATGGGAAGAGGCTATTATTAAACATTCTTAAACTTTTGATATTACTAAGCCTCAAGGAACTATGTGCATTGTACATGCATACAATGGGCAGTCTAATCAACCTCTCCTAGCCAATACGAGTATCTCAATATAAATATTATTTACATATTTACAAAGAATCTTGAACAATACTAACTTAATCTTCGTCTTCCAGTGTCCAGCTTGCCAGACAGCCTGCAACTTCCGTAAGACCAGGGTAGAAGAAAAGTATTTGCCATCAATGCTATCAGCGCCAAGGAAGGCTCCCATCAACCTGGACAAATTCGACGTGGCAGTAGTGATGCGTAAACTATACAAACAATGGCAAGTAGATGGATACTACCCAGGTGACCATGTGCCAAACTTGAGACCAGACACCTGGATCATCGTAGCGGTCGAAGACGGAGTGAAGCACTACAGTTGGCAGGAATGGGTTCCAAAGCTGGAGTCCTTGAAAGAAGGACCTCTGTATGAAGCAACCATCTCCTGGAAAGACGTTCAGACCCAGTTGCAGAAGCAGAGAGCCTTGGAGCAAGTGAGGTTCAACAATCGAGTGAGGCAATTCTTTCTAGAAAAATATGGAGAAAAAGTTCTCGCTGAATGGAGAAGTCAAGAGGACTCTCAGATCTCGGAGGACATATTTAGAAGATTCTTCTTCAGAAGGAAAGACGATCGAGCTGACGATTCACTGGAAGCTGATAATACTCCTTCCACGAGCAGTGCATACAACGATCGAGCAGACAGAGATCAATCAGGCAACAAGGAAGCTTACATAGTCTCCTGGGAACCGGAGACTGGAGGTCTAATGGGGAACCAAGTGGCAGACTCGAATTCAGCACAGATCTCTTTGCTACCTGGCACTAAGTACCTCGTTAGAATTGCTTCCAACGATGGACCAGGAAGCTTCCCCATCGAAGTAGACACCAGGCCCACTTCTGTTCAAGCAGAGAAGATTGAGACCAATTTTCTACCTGATCTCTACCCTTGGGACATCTTTGCGGCGTCCGTTTCCGCAGCTTTCTTGGTAGTGGTCGTTGGCATAGTGAAGATTTGCAGGAAGAGGAAGACCGTTGAGGTGGAAGAAGTTTGATTGGTGATAATGATTGCGTATCGTTGGTGACGATGATTTACTCAGGGATACTTTCAGCTTCGAGAAGCTAACTTTGGAGGAGAGAGATGAGGGAGGAGGATTGTGGCTGGATTATTGTCATGATCGATGTACAAATGACTGAATTGATCTCTTGGGAAAGTTCGCTAGTATTTTGGGCTGAATTGTTACACTTGATGCTACAAAATTGATGAATTTTTCCTGCTTAGTAATTGCTAACAGAGAATCGAAGAAGCAGTTTTTATCTTAATATGGCAAATACTAAAAATTCTCGTGGCTTTTTCGAGGAGATCGATTCGTCAGTGAGTGTAAATTTGATCGTAGATGTAAGTAGGTTAAATAATGATGTAAAATAGTTGTTCAAATCATGTAAGCGTTCCATAGAGACGTCAATAACCGTGAACGGAAGAGATGGAATCAACGTCTAACCGAAGGAGTGTGCAAAAGAACTTAAGAACCTCAGTAGAGATTAGAAATAAATAATAAATAGTCGCGGCAGTCTTTGAAGCAGGAAATGTACAGACTAACGAACGAGATATTTTTCTACGTGATAAGAGTAGTAAATAAATTCTTGCTCAAACGCGCAACGAACAGACTGTAAAAAAGTTCCTATCATCGTGAAAGACGAACGTCACCCGAAAATGGCGTCTGACCTCTGTATTTATTTGTAAATAGTAGCGTTGAAGCTTGTACATAGTCTTTAAACGATTAATAAAGATACGTCTGATAACAATATCTCTCGTAAATACAAGAATGCTGACCTGAATCGAACCTTGTTACCATTTTTCCAATAAATTGTACAACCTTAGGGCTTCACCTTTGATCCTGTATATTGTTAGCATTTTAAATACTTCTTTTGTCGATGATCCTAGCCCTAGTTCCACGAACCAAACTGAATGACGAGGATTAGTCAGAACTTTTCATTCAAAATTCGAAAAGATCTGTCGTCCTACGTCGAATGGATTTACTCCAGATTATGGTAAGACTAGACGCTTTGTAGGAATCCTTTGAAATTATACGCAAGTATACTTCTTTGTTAAAAGATGCACTAAGTTCATAGAAAAGCAAACGTCCACCGAGTTCCATTCGACACTCAAATTCAAATTTCACTTCTAATTCCCTTAAAATTCGAACACTAAGTAATACTAACACCGGTATATTTTCAAAAGATGAAACTTTCATATTATGAAATTAATAGAAACAAAACAATAACATTCTCGTTACCCCAGTATCATAAGGTCCATGAAAACTGCCTATTCCGTTCTATCTCTTAGTTTCACAATTGCGAGGCAAGCACCAAAATATTAGAAAATATCAGTGGGAAAAATTAACCACTTTCAAGTAACAGCACATCGTTCCCAGGCTTCACAATCCTTCCAACAAAATGGCAGCCGCCGCTAGATCAATCCCAGCAATCTTCAGACAAACTCAAGTGCGTTTGTCCTCCCAATTACCACCTAAAAAAAGGAAAGAAAAGAGAAGCTTAAAATCGGAGAACTGTTATTCGATGGTCAGAACCGGTAGTAAACTAATGGCCGATTCGCCCGGGGGAATACTCCGGAATTCCATGGGCGCAAAAGGAGGCTTACGTTATCCTCCCGAGAAAGTTCCAGGAACGGCCATTTCCTTTCCGCGAGCTCCGCTCGCGGTCGCGAGGGGAATGCCACCGCTCGGCTACGCCGAAGAGGTGCATTGAACTTTCCCAAGCGAATAATAAACTCGTCGTGAGTCGACGAAAAAACTGGGCTTGTCGGTGACCGTGCGTGTACACCGGGCAACACACATGGCGGCGTGTACGCGCGTGTGTGTTTCACGCGCCCGGGCACGGAGGCGCGGCCAGCCTGGATGAAAAAGTGTGCCGTGACCTCGAACAAGGTCCCGTTATCCAAGGCTTCGCCTTGGACGCGGTCGTCCTCAGTCTTGACTCGGTAGTCAAGCAAAGATGATACTGCTGGTCGCCTGTCTCAGCCTCCTAATTGGCTCCGGTGAACTGGGCACGTTGAACAATGGCCCTTCCGTCGGTGTGACAGCTGTCCTCGGACTCGGCGCGCTGCCTTTTGGATTCGCGGCTGGACCCAGGTACCGCCAATTACTTTTTTGATACGATTGTTCGCGTGCTCGGACTCCCGAACGTCGCGCGCGGTCTCGTTCGGTCAGTCCCTTCACGCGAAATTTCTTGGTCCTTATGGCTGTTTGGTGCGTGTTTAAGCATTAAGTACTACGGTCGGGACTTCAGACCGCCCAAAATTTTCGTTTAATTTTGTGTCTTAGACGTTGTACTGTTGAGATTTTATGTAATCTTCGGTTATGGTATAGTGTACGATCGTTGAAGTTATGGGTAGTTTAGGGTTTGGTTTACGGTTTACGTTGATTTAGAATTCGTCAGGAGTTTGAGAGATTGATTGTAGCACTTCAAGGCTAATACCAGGTGCACGGATGTTTATTGAACAGTATATGTGATGTATGAGCAAAGAGGCTGGCAATTTTTTAAGTGTTTTTTTAATGGTTTGATACTGGTATTGTTGAGGTGAAGGAATAAATTGAATTCATTGGATAGGATTGGGTTTTTTTTGTCTGTTCGTTGCGTGGGAATGTTCTTGGCTTGTGAGTAGAGACTTCGGAAAGTTTTACGACCTATTCTTGTAAAGTATATTTTTTGTTGTAATTTTACTCTGTTTAGTGGTATAAGGAGATCGATTAAATTTTCGTGAAACTAGGATCTTTAATAATTCTCTTGTTCGTCATAAAGTGACAGTTCTCGGTTTTGTGAGATATTTCCTAATTTTCACCTATTAAAGTTAACTTAACTTCTCATAGGTTTCATATTTTTCATCAAAAATTGTTTATTTTAGTAAAGTTTTTAATATAAATCTGCTTTATGAAAGATGTAGATCACAAGACAGAATTTAGATCATGACTCACCTGCCATTAATTCCATCGAACTGTTACGGATACATAAATTTTCAAGTCTAAATGATAACACTTTTCGTTTTAATCCTATTTTCTGTACTCGCAACGGTAAATAAGATGTCGGACATTTTATGTCGCCACTGGCAACCCAAGTGTCACGAAAGTTCTGATGATATCATAGGACTTTCCCAATTGAATTATCATTCAAGTCACTACACGCAATCCTTTTATATACCCGATGGAAAATCTGATGAAACTTTCTTATCAACAAATCTATTCAACCGAACTTTCCTGCTATCTAACGAGCGCAATTATCCTAATTACTAATTTGCTCCAACAATTCTCCACTCGTTATCCAATTACCATCCGTTCCACCATTCCGCGTATTCTAATAATCCATTCTTCAATTAACTAAACCGAGATCCAACTGTTCCTATTATTAACACGCAATCTGTCAACTTATCTTTCCGCTGATGTCCAAGAAGTAATTAGCGAATACTGTTATCCACCAGGTACGTTCCTAAATGGAAAAAACAAGCCTGTGAGATACCTGCTTCTCAGCACCCGAACTCGCACTACGTTTGCGACGAGGCTGGCGAAGTAAAATGCTTACCAGGTAAGAGGAGAAACATAAAAAAGGAGCGTGTGAGAGAGAGAGAGAGAGAGAGAGAGAGAGAGAGAGAATGCGTAAAAGGATAATACAATATATATAATATAATATAATATATATAATTATAAACAATATTACATAGTTATTTATATCTACAAGATAGTACTATACAATACCTACGTATAGCACAATCAAAAACTAATGATATGGACTTTGCACGGTTCACGCGTTCACTTCTTCTTTCCTCTTTTTCCCGTTCGATCCAGGATGGACCGGCGATTTGTGCGACGTGCCAATCTGTCGGAAGGGCTGCGACCCTCTTCAGGGTTACTGCCGTCGACCCGGCGAATGTCGCTGCAAATTGGGCTTCTATGGCGAGCTGTGCGACAAGTGTGTGGCTCTGCCGGGATGTCAGCACGGCAGGTAACTTGTCATTTCGATGGTGTTCTTTCTTCTTTTTTTCCATATTTTTTTCTCTCTGCGCGTACCGCCAACGGGCTAAAACGAAGAACAGAAGGGAACCGTGAACGAAATCGTTCCGCTGATTGATCGACGAGGCAATCAGCCGTATTTGTCATCTGAAACCGAGTAAAGAACACAATAATCAATACAAGAAACGTATTCCAAGTTGAATTTCTCTTATTACACGCGTCGTTTTCGCGATTGGTCGTTAACATTCACGATTTCACGATTGTAACGACACAAGACGTGCCTCGAGCGTTGCTCAGAAGGTGTAAAAGTAACTTCTTTACTATTTTCTTCTATAAACTAGTAATATAATCTGTATACAATATATCTTCTTGATATTATTTACTTCAAAAATGGCGGAAGAAGAAATATTTAAAAAACTCGAGATCAGATTAATCCCTTGCCTTATGATTTATTTCGCAACTATGATCGATACAACTACTTCATCGTTAATAATTCATTAGGAAACGAAACAAATTTCATGCTTAATCTACAGCTGCGTTTACTCCAAAGCTTAACGATTGATAGTAGAAAAGTCATATTTAATTTATATTTAAATAAATAAATAACAATAAATAACACTTAGACCTCTCAAATTCAGTTTAAAATTATTATCACGACTCTGACACGATATTGTAGGTTAAAGGGTTTAATATTAAAGCTATCAGGCCAGCACTTTTATTTCAAGTGTCAATTTCAAAAGGTGTGCTGATTAAAATCGTTTATCCTTTCCACGAAATTTAGAAAGAAACGTTAACACACTGCTCAAGCAATTTATCAAGTAGACAGTGGATCTTTATGCAAATTCCCGTTTTCATAGATCATTTGAAAAAAATCCAGAGTAAGGAAAACTTTTTTCCTGCGTGTGAAAGATTCTTTATGGTAAATATAAAGCGGAACTGCCATTACTCTTCGTCAAGATGGACGTTCTCTCGCTTTCCACGGATTTTAATAAATACATAAAGACACGTAGTCCGCTCGGAACATTTTATAAATGTTGCGGGTTCCGTCGTTACGCGACGCGATACAATTTCCTGAAAGCGACCGCAGGATTCGCCGCTGGCGGCTGACGGCTAACGAGCCAGGCACGGTCCGTTTAATCCGTATCACCCGAGAAAAACGCATCCAACTGCTTCTAACGCGAATCGGACACTGATTTCACCTTGGCAATCAGTGAATCCAATTTCGCAATAACGAGGAACATTTACCTTTGTGTCAACAACGATTTTACTAGCTTCTACAAACTCACAGTATTCCCATTCAAATTGAAAGACGACGAATGAGAAAATATCTCGAAACTTTATAAAAAATTGAAAGTTTCAAAGTAATTAGTTTTATTTAGAGCTTCGAGATACTTTATGAGAAATTAGAAATCTAATTATTTTTCTCTAAAGTGCTAACCTGACAAAATATACTACGTACCGATAAACCAGTGTACACTACCAAATACACTTATAAAAATTCAAAAAAGAAATGTTAATATATTCAAGACCAATGACCCACTGTACACATACAGAATCTCACCCGTATAGCTGGTGACTCATTATCAGCATGTGGGTCATGTAAATACTCAGATCCGCATGATCAGTCGGTTACTCGAGCAATAATTCAAATAACAATTAAAGTAACAAAACTTACGGTAAAATTAATACAATAACAAGAATTATCTAACGCGTTCCTTTATCCTAGTAATTTCCAATTCCATCGTGTTCTTACCACAGCTCTAGAAACATTGTAATCTACCAAAAGCTACGTCGATCTAAAAAAAAAAATAGAATACGTTAACACGTTCGTATAGCAACCCGATAACATTTTCCGCGCGAGATTTAGCGTCACGCGATAGGTACGATTTCCTGAAACCGACCGCAGATTCGTCGCCGTCTAAACAGCCGCGGCACGGTTCGTTTAATCCGTAGCGTTGCCCAAGAAAAACGTGTCTGGCAGCGTCTAAATGGGATACCGATTTCACCTTGGCCGTCGGTGAACCTAATTTCCGGGTAACACGAAACCGCGCCCGTTCCCATTCGGAAAGAGCGGTAATCCCATCCACCCGCAGGACTCTGACGCTAGTGGATTTTCACTTTCAGCTGTAACGTGAGCTTCGAGTGCTCTTGCGACCCGGGATGGAAAGGCATGTTCTGTTCGGAGCCGATCTGCGCTTCCGATTGCCTGGGCAGCCAAGGATACTGCGAAAAGCCCGGCGAGTGCAGGTAAAACGCGTAATGCTGCGTTTACACCGGCCGAGCGAGTGTTTGTTCTATAGTCTAATCAAATTTGAGTGTAAAATAGCATTCGTTCGTTCTTGATCATTAAAGTTGTGAATTCCAAAATAATAGTCCACTATTTAACGTTATCTATGTGAGTTATTGATTTAACTGTTTTTAATTTACTCAAGCATATTTAATAATATTCAAAATGTTCATTTAATGAGGATGTATGTGTATCCAATAATTGCAACGAGGATCAGTAAAATAGATGATGAATGAATGAACGAAGATGAAAGGGAAGATTGATTTTCTTGACATGTTGATTGGTGACTTATTTGGAATTCATAGCTTTCATTGATACTTACTCGATTCTGAAAAAAGATACTTTAGTCGAAGGAATGTTTTATTTATAGAATAGTTTTTAATGCTCTGATTCTAAAAGCAAACGGTGATATGTACGTTCACATATACGGACACGACGAATTCGTGACAAGCAGTATTGAATAGTATTCGTTTCTTTAAGTTCAAAAGTATGATTTAGTTTTCCTGTGAAATGAAAAGCTTTCGTTGGTAAGAATTAGACGACAACAATTTCATATTCATAATGGGAATAAGACGATTACCTCATTTGAAGTTCGCGAATACCACTGTGTATCGAGAAAATTCTACAGCTACGGGGTTAACGTTCGGATCTGAAAGATACAATTCAAAGTACTCTTAAATAGAAGTATTGTAGAACATGATCACAAATATTAGATGTTACTTAACCAGATAACTGTGGAATTTAGTTGGAGAAACCTCTCGTTCTGCGCGCAATAAAATAAAAAAATGGAGCGTGTACTCATCGAACGCAGGACGAATGCACGTAGAGTATATTTTAATGAAATATCAAAGCAAAACAAAGAAGAATTACATGTTTATGTGAAAAAATAAAGAATTCATCGCTGAAAGAATGAGTATCATGTCAAGCTTTACGATGACTTGCATACTCGTCAAACACAGTTAACTGGTTAATATTATATATTTGTGCAGTCCCTTTGCAAAAATTAACATTCCAGCAGATTTTAGCAGTAAAACTACCAAGCAATTGGAGTTACTTACCTTCACATTTTTATAAAAATTACAATATGATTTTACAATGTTTTCCAAAAGCCGTGTATCAATATAAATACTTGCAAACAAAAAGTTCTAAAATGGGTCAATTTGACCGACCCGGTAGTTTTATTGTTAAGCTACTATTTCTCAAGTACACGATCTCTGAAGCAATTTTACCATCGAAACCATCGAAGAGTTAAACCACAAGAATATTCCCTTGATTACCGTCCACATCGAACGAAAACGAATTTGTAAAAACTGGGGAGCGAACGAAGATTCGTTCGGCTGGTGTAAACGCAGCATACTGTTAAGGTAATGAGCGGTTATCAAACCCGGTAGCGGCGGATCGAAGCAATGAAACCCCTCGTTCCATTAACGTTCCCCGGACCCGGCAATTTAGGCCGGGCGAGGACGTCAGCCCCGGAACGCCGCTTTTCCGCTGAACTGTCACGCGCCGATTTTCAATGAACGCGGATTCCACCGAAAACGACTCGTCCCGCGTCCCCGTCTCGCTTGTAACTGGATAGTCGATCGGAATCGTAACGGAGGATTGTAATGAAGGTCTTGTAACTTGCATCGATAAGTGAGCAATTAGTGTCGATAGGCTTTCCTGAATACGGATTTCAGGAAAGTGGAGAAAGAAAAATCTGATGGAAATTCATATTCATTTCTTATGTCTTTGGTTAAAGACAAATCGTGCGAGGATATTGTTGAAGCTTTTCAAGTGAATAGTTTTTATGTTTTATGGAAATTTGACGCTACCTTGTGAGAGAAAATTTGTAAAGTAAAGAAGGATGACTTGATGTTTTGTAAGAAGTAGAACGGATAACGGACAAACACGTGATTCAATTTATTCGCATCGATTCCTGTGCACTGGTTGTTTCGAATTCGATGTATCTTTCATGTTGAAGCCTTTCCTTTTAATGAAAATCACTCGAGCCTTCAACCATCGGTCAGACCAATGTCGTACTTTGCGAAACACCTTGCATCACATTATGCTCTGTAACAGGACATTCATTAAGATCGGATTTCCCGAGCATTGATTTTTAATTTGTTTTATGTTTCTTCCAATCAGTTGTACCTTCGTAATACTTATTCGGTATCCGTTTCGTTTTACGAGTACTTTAAAATCAATCTTCCGTAAATAGAGGACAATATCGCAGCATGAACGTAATTCGACTGTCTATTGCAACATTGCATTCTGCTTCTAGATAATCGTTCGAATTATGGTTATAAATTGGCGGAATAGCGAATGCGGTGGTCCGCTCTAATTACGAACGAATATATACGGACAAAGAATTCGTTAATCGGGTTGTTTGATTTGTTAATCGACTTTCCGCAGGTGTCGTCTGGGCTGGCAAGGACCGAAGTGCAAACAGTGCGCTGTTTTACCAGGATGTTTGCACGGAACGTGTCAAGGACCACTCGAATGTCGCTGCGAGCCTGGGTGGACTGGGCTCCTTTGCCAGACACGTAAGTGAATTCTGCTTTTACAATGTAATGGTTAAATGTCACGAGTGGACTGTGGATTTTCGTGTATTTATAACGAAGACGGAAAAATTCCAACAAGTAAAGTTGGTCACTTTAGCTTGTAAACAATTCAGTCTTCAGAATAAAATATCTAAAGTACTACAATATGCACGATCTATATTTCTAAAAATAGTTTCAAGCGAAACTATAAATCGTCATCATTAACCCCTTAACGCACAATTTTTTTTTTTAAAAAACTGGCCAAAAAAATCAATTTTGATATACTGCGCTTTTGGTCCATGGAGAAAGGCTACATTTTATTCTTGAATAAATAAGTGTTATAGCTTACAATCCCATGTAAATGATAAATATCAATAAAACGATTTCTTTTCTTTGCTTTCACATTGTTATTTTCAATTCTCGATTATATTCGAGTGTGAAAAATTATAGCAGCATAAAATACAACGCCGCTCGAATTATCTCGAGCGTGCACAGTTTCGCCTGTTTAGCGCGCTCGAATTAACTCGAGCGTACAAGTTAAGGGGTTAATTCATTAATTCTGCCTACATACAATTGAACTCAGTATCCTAAGTAACCAATTAACTCTTAAAATGCACTGATTCCAATTTCCCGTTTTTTTTTTGTCACTTATCTTTTAATAATGTTTATGTTTGAGCGATGTTTCACTTGCAGAAATGCAACCAAGTATATAATAGCTATTGTTTATTAGGTACACAGTCCTAGTATAATTGATTCACCAGTTCAGAACTAAAGTTTACTTTATCCATTTAAATGTGATCGTTCTTTCTGCAGCAATTTGTTCTCAAGGATGCAGCCGAGAACACGGTAGCTGTCGTCGCCCAGGAACATGTAGATGTCGCGTAGGATGGACAGGTCCAAACTGCACCGAATGCGTCTCCTATCCTGGATGCGTTCACGGGAGCTGCAAACGACCATGGGAGTGTCGCTGCGAGCCTGGATGGGCAGGTGATCTTTGCAACGAGAAACTTACCTATTGCGAAGAGAATCCTGGAACCTGTCGCAACAACGCGACTTGTATCAGCATGACAAAGGAGGATGGCAATTACAGGTAAACCTTTCTCCTATTCGTATTAATGCCGTCGATAACTTCAATTTAATCAGATCACAATACCTACAAATAGGTACTATGTAATCATCTTTATCTACTCACTTCTTGGAATGGTTTGTTAATAACTGACAGTTATTATAATTGATTAGATATATAAATGATTTATTTAACAACTGATGATTACTGGTTATAATACAGATATATTGTTCATGTGACCGTCAATATATTCATAAATTAATAATGTTACGTCTTTCTCATGAAGATTATGCAACAATTATGTCAACTCCGACTCAATATTTATGTAAACTTCCATGATTAGCATAATATAAAATGTACATGCAAATGACTATAGATTTATTATGTATGAATATTAATGTTGCATAAGTATTCATTAATTAGATACATTGAAATGTTTCTGTTAAACTAAAAAGTATAGAAAGTAAGGGAAATATATTTATCGATGAATCTCCTTTAAGTATTAATTTAATTTCATTACAGGTGTATCTGTCCTCTCGGCTACATGGGACGCCAGTGCCAAATTAAAACGATGGTCCCATCCACGGACCTAATACCGCCATTGCCAGATTCAAGTGATTCGGAAACGAAGCCACAGATGATTCTAATCAAACCAGAAGTAACCGAGGGTTCTCAGAATCTAGACAATAAGGATAAAGATGTTATAAAAGAGGAAGAACAAACGGTGGAACCCCTTGGTCCGATCGTTATCACTGATCCGCCGTCCACTATCGATCCGGCGGCTACCGTAGGAAAATGGCCAACCGAACCTCCCACAGAATCGCCGATTTTGGAAAGAGACGATGAGAACGAAACATAACATGGATAAGACGGCGGGCAGCCCTTATCGTTCACTGTTATTTATGTAATTTATTTATTTATTATATTTAAGTTAAGGATCATTGATGTGTATCGCTTAACGATTGCTCATAAGTCGCAAATATAATTAGCGAAAATGTTTCTATATTGAATACTTATTAAGTGACGCTAGGATAAGTGATTCTATAGGAAGAATTTTGTGAAGATCATCCGAGATCGATGAATATTATGAATAAACGCAGTCATAGGTGTTTAAATCGTTATTGGTTACGCATGGAATTAGTGAGGCAATGAAAACATTTGGAAACGAACTGTGCAACTTTCGATACAGATTCGAATGTCGACGGTTAAACATTAATTCGAATTAAAATTTAAATAATAACGGTTGGTTTCAAATTGAAATTGAAACTCAAATATCAATAGCTAATGTAGAATTCAAATTCAAATATCATCAATACGAATTCCAGGTTGAACTCGACTAAATTCGTAGAAATATTTCTAAACGATCGAGTACCGTCACCCGTAGACGCAGTTTCACAGAAATCCTGACGATCACTATTAATCCAACCACGGTTCTGAGGCCCAATAGTTTTGAACTGTGGCTGCTGGGATTTTCGAGAAAGCGGCCGTCCTACTATCTCGTAGCCAATTACTGCTTCCAGTGGCTAGATAGGATGTAAATGGTACGTAAGTACTTAAAGAACCTCTCGGTACTCATACATCCGCGATCTTAAACGCGTATATAAACATTCCCGCGGAACGTTACGCTCGAACGATCACGTATACTCGTTCGATGTTACACGATGCATATTGCACGCTCGCGTGTGTCGTTTTTCCATCGGTGCGCATACGAGGCCAGATAGGCTGCCCACGTAATCGACCGCTCGAGACTCGTGTTCTTTACGTAATAGGCAGCATTTTTACCCCTGGTATCGTGCGTCACTACCGTACCGATGCACCGACAAGCTTTTTAACCCCTCGTCTAGTAATATCACGGCAAACTCGTGATGAACATTTTAAAGAGGAATTGGCAAATGTTAATGGCATCATAATACAGGTATAATATAAATATCCATATATACTAGTACCTACTATACTGGTAGGTGCTAGCATGTGCTAAACACTAGATATAGTAGTTATAGCTATAGTTACTAGCTAAATACTGGTAGGTACTAGCATGTGCTAAATACTAGATATAGTAGTTATAGCTATAGTTACTAGCTAAATACTGGTAGGTGCTAAATACTAGAATATAGTAGTACCATATCGTAGATATTAGTACTAGATACTAGAATATTCCAGCGCAATGTAGTCGATACTAGAGCTAAATAATGGAAGGTACCAGTATCATATTGTAGACACTAGCACTAAACACTGGAACATGCCAGTATCATATCGTAGATGCTAGTATCGAATACCAGAATATACTATTAGTATTATAATACTAATACATAGTAGAAAAAATATTTCCAGAAAAATGTGATAAGAAAAATTAGTTTTATAATCTGCAGGTAAACAAATCTTATGTTGGGTCAGATTTAACCCAGCTCAGTTGGAATTAAAGTGAGAGTGAATATAGGTGTAATTCCTTTTTATTTCTAGTAAATTATTAAAGAATAAAATAGTTTCGACAAGTAATATTATAAAAGAAATCATACGGTAAGTGTACAACCCTCTAAATGGTCAATTTCGCTCGTCCAGGCATCACGACTCATCCCCAGGAAATTTGAATAATTTCATAATGGCGTTAAAAAATAATTTAAACCTGAATGAAGCTTAATAGCGTAAGATGAATTTTATGAATAATTCAAGGGGGATCGTAAAAATAATCCGTGGAATATCGCTAGCGCACGACAGTGTTTTACGTAAGCTGCTCGGAAAGTACATTTAAGTATGTACCGCATGTGAATATTTTTTGTAAAAGTTCCTTCATAAGAACAGATTCTTACAAAGTAAAAACGGTTTCAATTAAAGCCATTTCCAATCATTCTTTTCTTAAATTCAACGTTTCACGATGAAACAATTTAACGATTTATTAATACCTGATTTTTTAATTCTGAATATAATAAATTAAATCATCCCGTATTGTGACATTATAATTTATAAAAACTGCATAACATTGTAGTATCGTTAAGCAAAGTACATACCGGTAACGGGAGCATTTTTTCAGATCAAGATTAAGAAGGAAACGCGAAAGTTTAAGGACGCAGTTTAGTCCAATTTGTACTATGACCTCGTTACGACGCTTATTGTCAATCTCATTCACATGCCGCGCCCGCGTGTATCCGTGTGCCCATTATGAAGCGACATTCCCGCGACCGGTTTTCCCGTGGAGAAACACTGCCGATCGATGTGTAACGTGTCGGGCGATCGGGTTACTTCCTCCTTCGAGAAACATAGATCTTTTAAATTTCATCGGCGCTTTGTTTCCGGTTCCGGGTCCTTTCCCTCGAGAACGAGACCGCGCGACCGTAACGCGCAACAGATATTTATTTCTGCATGGTTTCCGTGTGAGCCTGACACTGCTACCTGACCACGAAAGGAACATTTTTCATTTGTCCTGCATTAAGAAACTGTAGGATAATGGAAATTGGAATACGACTTCCAGAATGTTTAAATTGAAATTGAAATTTTATCGGTCAATTCGAGTTTTCACGCTTAAATTTGAATTTGAATTTAAATTCCAACAGTCAATGTTGCATTCGAATTTGCACATCTAAATTTCAACTTAAATCTCAAAGTGCAGATATCTGAATTCGAATTTCAATTCGATGTTCAAAAGGATTTCAAATTCTAAGAATGTTTAAACATAAATGAACAATTTCAATGTTATATGTCAAGATGATGAAACTTAATACACCGTTTGCAATCCTGTTCTTCGAATAAATTATATTTTTCGAAAGCTTCTGAACTCGTTAGTCGGGTAGCACGAAAGTAAGAGCCAAAGGTTCGGAAAACCTCAACATCCAATTAATTTTTTTTTTGCGTCACAGACATCGTAATTTTGCTTCACTTTTTTCATAGGCGAACGATCGCGCTCGGATATTATCATACTTTAATAACGTTACCACTGTATTATGCCCGTATGACCCAGATTTCACGTCCGACAGCGAGTAATCTAACATTTTTATTCAAATGTCCGTAGCTCCGAGAACGGAAGTACTCTCGTTTCGCGACGCATAAACGGTCCCAACGCAAGTTCAAACTCGACGAAAACGTCCAATTAAGAGAGACAAGCCGGGGAAGAATTTCCCGCTGTATAATTGCTCATTGTGACCCTGTTTGAATTGTCGATGTCCGTCGCCAACTTCTGTTAGCCTCGTTTCTCCAGCGTTATCATTGTGCAAATATGCAATCCCATTTCGATCCATGTCGTTTTAACGACTATACTTGCGCCATTCTACCCTCGTAGTACCAATTAAAATTCTAACACTATTCGTTCTTCGAGCTGTGCTTCAGTCAAATATCTCTAACTGAAAGATTAAAGAACTTTAATCCTTAAACCACTGTACCCGCGATCCTTTTCAGAGACTGAAGAAATCCTTACATCCCGAAAACGCTTCAAGGCTTTCACTAAATTAAAACGAGACTACACCCAGACTCCATCCAATCTTGAATTTCATAACTTTCCGAACATGTTCGTACATAATGAATTCCATAAAAGTTCCGCAATCTCCTCACAGTCCCAAATTTTCCCACTTAAAGGATCCATGAAAATTTTACATTTCCCGAATATTTGCTTGTATATTAGTAGATCCTATAATACTAGTATAATGTACTACAAATTATAATAATATAATATAATATAATTGAATACAATAGAATACAACATAATACAATCCAATATAATGTAATACAAATATATAATATAAATTACACGCAGTACAAGGAAATTGGAAAATACTCCCATGATATACAATATTACACAGTACAATATTATATATTACTATAATTCCTTCTCCCAATCAAACTCGAAAACCCCCGAATATCCAGTCCCGGACATAAACGTTTCGCCAACCTTCCCATAACACTGTGGAACAAATTTTGACCTATGTTAGTTTTTGCAATAGCCACTATGTATTTCTTATAGAGTTCCTTACCCTAAATACGAATCCGAAAACCAAATTGCTGGGTCAAGTCCAGTTTTCGAAAAAACTGGGATTTTGTAAAAACGGTCGAATTTTTCAGAAAACCAAGTGTTACGTGAAAACTAAAAACGATAGGCAGTTAAATTTTATCGCAAAAAATAAAGGAGACTTGTCCGATCACGTAGCTATAAAAATTTTGAATTTTGCGTATCATTAAATGTTTGTAAACGGCGATCAAAGTTTAAAAAAAGGTAGATGCGCATACTTTGTATGCACTTCTGTTACATTTCTACGAAAAGTGGGTTGGCCAGCACGAATTTGCTGTGCACCATTGGATTTTGCAGACATTTCTGAAGAGGACCCCCCCCCCCC